CGTGGAAATAATTTCCTAGATATGTAGTAGGTATTTTTAATTTCTGTTCAGTGCTTTGACTCTAGTCTACTTTCCTCTAACATGGGAAGAATACATGGAGTGCTCTGATCGTGACGGTCATTGGAGCAAACAAAATCTGAAAACGCACCCGCACGGACGCATTCCCTTCCGTCTCCCTACTTTTACTACGTGCCTTTTTTTAATAGTACGGTACGCTTCATCGACATAGTACATTATGCATAATTTTAGTGACTGATCTGTGTCCAAGTTACTTTAAACAACAGAACGATTAAAAGAAAATAATCAAAAAAATTAAATACTTAATCTTTTCAATTGACATAATGGATCTTATACTGGATGTCAACTATGCACAAAAAGAAATAAATACAATCATGTTAACAACATTTATTTGGGTATAAAATCTAGCTAAATAAACAAAAAATTATACAAACTTGAACTCAAGAATGTTTTTTTAAATGACATAACTGTACGTCCACATAACGTCCTTAAATGACATGGAATTTTCATAGACATTAACCTGAAACTACACTTTAATTTGAAAAATTCAGTATTTTGCAGCCGAAGATAACATTCATACTACCACTTAAGTTTTCTGCACACTAAATATGGCGGCTTTAATGTTAAAATCTGTCTTGTGAAAGTATAGGTCTATATTCAGTACTTCTCTCAAATTATAAAGTAGATAATTTTAAGGCTGATGGTTGAACTCAAGTCTTCTTTTCGATCATGTCCATGTAGGCACCAGAAAGAAGGTCTTCATCTCTCACTCCTAATTTCCTCCTGATATCCTCAGCGATCACTTCGCCCTCTGCAGCACTTTGACCCTCTTTCAGAACGACCTGATTAAAATGAGGGAGTAACTGTAACTTCGACGCAGACAACAATAATTAAAAGGCAGAAAAAATATAACTCGGTATTCACTGCAGTAGGTGACAGAGAGCGCATTTTCTCGTCGACGAAAACTTGAGGTCACGGACGGACAGACAGACAGACGGACATGGCAAGCACAATAGTGCATTTTTTTCCATAAATGAGAAAATGCGCTAAAAACGACTGAAATGATCTAAAATAACTTGTCAGAGTCCATAATTACTGAACGAGGCTGATCAAATGTTCATTCATACATCATTCGGTGGCACGTAACTCATGTAACTCATTTTCATTCATTTTCATATCACTGAACGTGTTCATAGAAATCAAAACGTTGATTTGAAACAGTGAAATATTCATATTAAAGAAAATATATGGAGCTCTCATACTGTACATCTTTTCTGTACTGTACATAGGTATGAGGAAATGAATTTAAAAGGCACAACAACAGAAAAACTTTAAATTATTAGTATTTCACCATTTTCATTATCCAAATTCCGAGTTGAAATGATCAGAAATTACATTTTTATCAATATCGAATTTGGTTCATATCAATCACTGGATTGCAAAAATTTGTGTAGATGATAAAATGGCACCAAAGCAATGCTACATTTAAAAAAAGTTTTAGCTCATCAGGCAGTACTGTTTCTAATTAAAATTCTATATTAGCGGTGAAAAAGGCCCGAAAATTGGGTAAAGTAAGGTAGGTAGTGTTTAGGGCAAAAATAACATAGATGGACTTCATTCTCATTTGGGTAGTTCACTTTATAGAAGGGTTTGCCAGAAAAATTCGTATTGTTTGCAAAAGTCAAAGTTGCTTCAAAGTGTAAATCTTCCAAAACCAAGCTAATAGCAGACTTTTATTGACAATATAACTACAGAAACAAGTTTTAGGTATTTTTTTCTTAATGCAATATTTCTATCATGAACACATGCATCAGCTGATAAAAGCCAGAATATATCTTACTTTGGGTTTTGATCTGAAAACATTTAAAACCATTTCTAATCTTCATTGAGCAACCAAAACTATTGATAATAAATAATATGCTTTGTTCTTTACATTTGCATCAAGCACAAGTCAATAAGTCATTAGGACCAACAAGAAAGAAGCAAAAGGTTATTTGCATTGTTTGTTAGGCCCACCTCGAGCTCCATGAAGTCTCCTAGCCCCACAACACGATCTACATGCAGACGAGTTTGCCCCAGCAGGTAAAGGTGGCGAGTCTTAAGCACGCGACCTCGCACTCCTAGGCATGCAGTCAGCAGATCCTGAAGAGGCTGCAAGCCTCCCTCCACACTGCTGCCTTGCACCTGTATCATCATTAGATATGATATGACAGGGACGAATATTGCTAAGTTTTTTTGCTAGTTTGTAATATCAAGAATAAAGACATAAATGAAAATATGATGCCAACGAACTTAGAACACTAAATAATTCATGACAAATTTGGTAAAACTAATTATAATATACCTATATATAATTCAATTACTCAGAATTAATCCCTAATTACTAAAGATGTCAAAATGGCTCAAATTTACTGATATTCAAATTAGACTATTGATGGACTAAAACGATGTAACAGATGAGATGTTGTGATTAATTAATGATTAGATGAAAAGTAAAGAGTCCTTACACAAAAATCCAAAATTCTCTAATCATGCAAGCAGTAGCTTTTACTGGCTGAAAGTACAAATTTAGCCAAAATAGATGTATATACAGTAATGTCCAGTAATGTAGTGAAAGAATTATGTTCAAACTAAGCATAAAATTCATTCCAAGCAATAGAAATAAATGTGAAATTTTTCAAAATTATTTGTCATAAATTGTGAGTACGTATTACCAGGTAGAAGCTGCTGGTCTTAGGCCCAGGTGTGTCAGGACGGTCATAGTNCTAAAATAACTTGTCAGAGTCCATAACTGTCTCTTATACACATCTAGATGTGTATAAGAGACAGGGTCTGATAAGAGGAATTGAGTGGGTCTGATAAGAGGGATTGAGTGGGTCTGATAAGAGGAATTGAGTGGGTCTGATAAGAGGAATTGAGTTGGTCTGATAAGAGGGATTGAGTGGGTCTGATAAGAGGAATTGAGTGGGTCTGATAAGAGGGATTGAGTGGGTCTGATAAGAAGAATTGAGTGGGTCTGATAAGAGGAATTGAGTGGGTCTGGTAAAAGGGATTGAGTGGGTCTGGTAAGAGGGATGGAGTGGGTCTGGTAAGAGGGATTGAGTGGGTCTGGTAAGAGGGATTGAGTGGGTCTGGTAAGAGGGATTGAGTGGGTCTGGTAAGAGGGATTGAGTGGGTCTGGTAAAAGGGATTGAGTGGGTCTGGTAAAAGGGATTGAGTGGGTCTGATAAGACATAAGAGGAATTGAGTGGGTCTGGTAAGAGGGATTGAGTGGGTCTGGTAAGAGGGATTGAGTGGGTCTAGTAAGAGGGAGTGAGTGGGTCTAGTAAGAGGGAGTGAGTGGGTCTGGTAAGAAGTAGTGAAAGGGTCTAGTAAGAGTAGTGAGAAGATTTGATAAGAGCAAGCGCCAAGCAGTGATAAAAACAGCTCATTTAATTATTATGCACGCATGTAAAAAGAAAACTAAGCAAGTAAGCATGTCCAAAATCATCCTATTTCCATACGATAAAGAAAGTCATTATTAAATGCCTTATTAAAGCTTACGTTTTAATACTCTAGAGCGCAATAATAAGAAAGAGCAACAAGGGAACTACACACCAGTAACTAAAGTGCGTACCGTACGCACTTTATAGAATACCGAAAATATCAAAATCCAGCTCGAAAAAAGATGAGTACGATTGATCATTTTACACTCATTCTTCATTCAGTTTGAATGTTCATAGAAATAGTTGAAACCTTTTCATGCGAAAATCTGCACACGCTCCTAATAAGAACAGTTTTATAAATTCTTTTTACATACTTAGCACGTAAAAGAATGCAGGAAGCGAAGTGCGCTAAGCAAGAAATCAACCATGGGCAAAAGGTGTAAGATAAATGTTTGAAAATCTCTCTCAGATCTGAGAACGAAGTATTGATTGCGCTCGGTAGATTGTTGGGAAACGTCAATTGCTTAACATTAGCAAGCATCCATTTATGTTAGATGAATATCCGAATATTATGTTAGATGAACTCTGATTGCGGCTAATACTCTGATCGCGGCTGATGCTCTGATCGCGGCTAATTCTCTGATCGCGGCTGATACTCTGATCGCGGCTAATACTCTGATCGCGGCTAATACTCTGATCGCGGCTGATACTCTGATCGCGGCT